CTTTCTTTCTTTCTTTCTTTCTTTCTTTCTTTCTTTCTTCCTTCCTCCTTCCTTCCTTCCTTCCTTCCCCTTCCCTTCCCTTCCCTTCCCTTCCTTTCTAAAAGCACCTTTGGGACACACACCTTAAAAGTTGCAGTGGTTGAGAAACATCGCACAACAGTGAGCAAGGGTATTTTTTAACGCGCCCCATAAATATACATTTAACACGCTCTTGCCCGGGACTCAAACGGCCGCCCATGGGGATCCCAAACCACTGAGTTATGAGATCTGCCCATTTCACAAAAGGGACAACCGGGGGCAAAAGATCCAAGATGGACTTGGAGCCCACTCACTTGAAGGGATGGCCTTCTTCGGATTTCTGCACAGCTTGGATGACGGACTTGTAGACCCGGAAGCAGATGGTGACAGACAGCAGGGCCAGGATGAGGTACGAGACGACGCTGATGACGCTAAAGGCGGCCAGGGAGAGGAGCAGGATCAGGGTGGTGCTGAACACGGCCCCGGACTTCTTCACATCCCTCCAGAAAACCAGGTCTCGCACTGTGGGGAAAGGGAGAAGAGGAGACGCCGGCCGTCAGAGAAGGAGAGCCGTAGGGGTGGCTCAGTGGTGAGAGGGCGGTACTGCAGGCTACTTCTGCTGACCGCCTGCAATTTGGCAGTTTGAATCTCACCAGGCTCAAGGTTGACTCAGCCTTCCGTCCTTCCGAGGTGGGTCAAATGAGGACCCAGATTGTTGATAGGCAATAGGCTGACTCTGTAAAACGCTTAGAGAGGGCTGTAAAAACACCGTGAAGCTGTATATAAGTCTAAGTCCTTCCTTCCTTCCTTCCTTCCCCCCCTCCCTCCCTCCCAGTGGTTAGAATGCAGTATTGCAGGCTAATTCTGCCCATTGCCAGCAGTTCGATCCTGACCAGCTCAAGGTTGACTCAGCTTTCCATCCTTCAGAGATCAGTAAAATGAGGACCCAGATTGTTGGGGGCAAGAGGCTGACTCTGTAAACCGCTTAGAGAGGGCTGCATAGCACTGTGAAGCAGTATATAAGTCTAAGTGCCATTGCTATCTTTCTTCCTTCCTTCCTTCCTTCCTTCCTTCCTTCCTTCCTTCCTTCCTTCCCTTTCCTTTCCTTCCTTCCTTCCTTCCAGAATGCAGTATCGCAGGTTAAATCTGCCCACTGCCAGCAGTTCGATCCTGACCGGCTCAAGGTTGACTCAGCCTTCCGTCCTTCCGTGGTGGTTAAAATGAGGACCCAGATTGTTGGGGGCAAGAGGCTGACTCTGTCAACCGCTTAGAGAGGGCCGTAAAGCACTGTGAAGCGGTATATAAGTCTAAGGGCTCTTACTATCTGCTGTCAAATTGAGTGCATGATCCCTTGCAGGGGAAGCTTGTAACTGTAAAGTGGCTCAGCCGGATGGGCGGTGTCTAAATTTGAAAACTAAAAAATAAATAAAAATAAATAACAACTATACGGGGAGTCCTTGACACACCACAGTTCACTGGGTGAACTAAATATATTTATTTAACCACCAATCTACTTCTCCCCTATATTTCAAAATACTCTCATTTTACAATACAGGTAATCCTCGACTTACAACAGTTCGCTTAGTTTTTCACACTTACGACCGTCGCAACGTCCCCGCAGGGTCGTGTGATTTAAAAATTCAGATGCTTGCCAACTGGTTTGCATTTACGACAGTTGCAGTGGCCCTGTATGTGTGTGTGTGTGTGGCCACGTGATCTGCTTTGGTGACCTTCTGACAAGCAAAATCAATGGGGAAGCCCGATTCACTTAACGACCGTGGGATTAACTTGGCAACTGCTGTGATTCGCTTAGACACGGTGGCGAGAAAGGCCGTTAAGATGAGGCAAAGCTCGCTTAAGAAATGCTTGGCTTAGCAATTTTGACCTCATCTGCTGTAAGTCAAGGATTCTCATTTTTAACTAAAGGGAACACCCCCATCTGAATCGGTTTCAAAATATAAGAATGGAATAAAAAAATCTCATTATTATTATTTTTTAAAAAGGTGATTGACACAGATTTGTAGTCGTAGTTGCATAAAACCAGCCTCTAGTCACAACAATTGGGAATTGAAAATCCCAATTCATTTAAGACTCTCGAAAAGCAACACAGAATCGTAAAAAATAATAATATTATGACCGACTAAAATCTCTCTTAAATCTTCTTCCATGCTCCTCAGGACATAGTTTCTGCAAACGGAGCACCAGTTATCTTCTTTCTATCTATCTGTCTGTCTGTCTGCTTCTTTCTTTCTTTCCTTCCTTCCTTCCTTCCTTCCTTTTCTTCCTTCCTTCTTTCAATCAATCAATGGCTGCATGTGTGTATGTTCCAGCATAACTCTGGAACGCCTTGAACAATTTCAACAAAACTTGGTACGCAGATGACTTACTCTCCGGAAACAAATACTATGGGGGTAAGACATCCCTCGGGGTGTGTGTTCTGTTAAGATACATCCTGTTGTGCCTCAAAATGGTTTCTACTGTACTACTGTAAAATGGCTTCTACTGTGCAGTGGAGTTGCCTTGGTAACGGCTTCACAGTACTCCACAAGGGAGCTTCCCTCTGATAAAGGGGAAAATCCAACATTAGAAATTACGTTTGGTCCGGACATTCCCCCCCCCTTATAAATAAATACCTGGACAAGACAGATTATCGGCTGGTTTGTAATAAAAGAAATATACCGATAATAATTCTGTGTCCAGAATATTTTGGCAGAGAATAAGCAAAGCGATTATTAAGAGAGACAAGATTTTCTTTTTTAAAAAAATGGAAGCTTTTGTAGATTTTAACTTGATTATTGATGGTGTTTCAGAAAGTTTGCCTCGTCATTTACCTTTAAACTAAAATTCTGCATTTCAGCTCTTTTTAAGGAGCCAAAGCAAAGAACCCCGTTTCTTAAATTTTGGATAATGCTGTGGAGGAGGAGGAGGAGGGCTTCAAATGCCAAACAATTAAAAATAAAACTTTTGTGTTGTCTTAGCCTGACCTTGAATCTTCCTTTTTCTTCTGCTTTTCCCAAAACCGAAAAGGTGGTGATTTTAGGGCTTTGCAGCTTTATATTGCAGGCCGGGTAATTTAAAGTATTCGTACTTAAATAACATAGCAAGGTGTATGCTTTTGATGTGGAGAATACAGATTAGGGAAAGGTTCCGTTTGTACATATGTGCTAGTCCTTCCCGACTCTAGGGGGCGGTGCTCATCTCCGTTTCAAAGCCGAAGAGCCACCGCCGTCCGAAGACGTCTCCGTGGTCATGTGGCCGGCATGACTCAACGCCGAAGGCGCACGGAACGCTGTTCCCTTCCCACCAAAGTTGGTTCCTGTTTTTCTACTTGCATTTTTTACCTGCTTTTGAACTGCTAGGTTGGCAGAAGCTGGGACAAGTCACGGGAGCTCACTCCATTACGCGGCGCTGGGGATTCGAACCGCCAAACTGCTGGCCTTTCTGATCAACAAGCTCAGCGTCTTAGCCCCTGAGCTACCGCCTCCCTATTCCTATTATACATAATGCAATTTATATTCCCCCAAGAGCAGATTTAATTGAGGTACAAAAGCTACTCTTTCGACATTGTTATATATTTATTTAGCCACCAACCTANCCATCTGTCGGAAAGGGTGTGGGTCTCCTGCCTGAGCAGGGGGGCTGGACTAGATGACCTACAAGGTCCCTTCCAACTATTCTATTCTTACTCTTACTCTACCTCTACTCTACTCTACTCTACTCTACTCTACTCTATTCTTATTCTGTTCTATTCTAGTTGATAAATTAATAACATGGTTGTTAAGTGAGCCTGACTTCCCCATTGACTTTGCTTGTCAGAAGATCAGAAAAGGGGTCACATGTTCCCAGATTCTAGGGGGCGGTGCTCATCTCCGTTTCAAAGCCGAAGAGCCAGCGCCGTCCGAAGACGTCTCCGTGGTCATGTGGCCGGCATGACTCAACGCCGAAGGCGCACGGAACGCTGTTCCCTTCCCACCAAAGGTGGTTCCTGTTTTTCTACTTGCATTTTTTACGTGGTTTTGAACTGCTAGGTTGGCAGAAGCTGGGACAAGTCACGGGAGCTCACTCCATTACGCGGCGCTGGGGATTCGAACCGCCAAACTGCTGGCCTTTCTGATCAACAAGCTCAGCGTCTTAGCCCCTGAGCTACCGCCTCCCTATTCCTATTATACATAATGCAATTTATATTCCCCCAAGAGCAGATTTAATTGAGGTACAAAAGCTACTCTTTCGACATTGTTATATATTTATTTAGCCACCAACCTACCCCTCCCCTATATTTCGAAATACTCCCATTTCACAAAACAGATAGTCCTCGACTTACAACAATTCGTTTAGTGAACGTCTGAAGTTACAACGGCACTGAAAAAAAGGGACTCAGGAGCGTTTTCCCACACTTTACAACCGCTGCGGCATCCACCCCCGGTCATGTGATCAAAATTCAGACGCTTGGCCCCTGACTAGCATTTATGACGGTCATGCGATTTCCCCTTTTGCGACCGGCAAAGTCAAGGGAGAAGCCAGGCTCACTTAACGACTGTGCTGACTAACTGCAGTGGTTTACTTAACCACGGAGGCAAGGGGGGGGAGACACAAAACTCACTGAAGAAATGTCTCACTTAACAACAGAAAGGTTGGAGTCAGTGGTGGGTCGTAAGTCAAGGACTGCCTGGTATTCTGTGTTATTGAATGCTGGGGCTCCCATCGAAGCTGCAGAGCTCAAGAAAAGCAGGGGGAGGGGGCTAGACCCAGACAAGCCCCCCCCCCAAAAGAATCGAGACTTGTCTGAACAGCACAGAAAAAGCATTTACAACTCAACACAAGGCTTCCTCTGTTTGAGTAGTGGGGAAATCCACTCCCCCTTGAGGGGGTCCATGGGCCACGGGCAGCTGGCCAAGAATAAAAGTTTATAAAAGCCCATCCTTTGGACAGGGGTGGGGTGGGCTCCCTGAATTAAAAAGGAGAGGGAAGAGAAGAGGGGGGGGGGAGGAGTGTCAGCCCCTTTTATCTCTTGTTAAAGATGTCCATCTCCCGAAATTGAGACCGCAGCCCTCCCCACTGGATTTCTTCTGGATATCAAAAAAACAAATCTTTTATCTTTTATAGCCTTCCACGTTTAAATCACATTCTGGTCTAAACCACAAAGGTATATAGCATAGTGTTTCTCAACCTTGGCAACTTGAAGATGTCCGGACTTCAACTCCCAGAATTCCCCAGCCAGCGAATGCTGGTATAGCAGCGTCTCCGGAATACTTGGTGGGGACAGACGAACACACACAATTCCAGTTTCGCCAGATTTTTCGCCTACTGTTTAGCTCCGGGGTTAGGAAGCCGTGATGCCTCCCCTTCCAACTCTCTTTCTCACACACTTTGACAAGTTACGTGAAATCCCCCAACGGCTCTTCACCACCACCACCCCCGGGCAAAAAAAGAACACATAGAATTGTAGGGCTGGAAGGGTCCTTGGAGATCTTCTAGTCCATCCCCCCTCTGCTCGAAGGCAGGAGTCTTTATACCATTTCAGGCAAATGGTTGTCCAGTCTCTTCTTGGAAAGCTCCAGTGATAAGGAAGGAAGGAAGGAAGGAAGGAAGGAAGGAAGGAAGGAAGGAAGGAAGGAAGGAAGGGCAGAATAACATACTTGGAAGGAACTTTAGAGGTCTTCTAGTCCAACCCTCTGCTCAAGCAGGAAACCCTATCCCATTCCAGAAAAATTGCTGTCCAGTCTCTTCTTGAAAACCTCCAGTGAGAAGGAAGGAAGGAAGGAAGGAAGGAAGGAAGGAAGGA